CCAACATTGTAGGTGTTGATGGATACTACCTGATTAGAGAGGATAGAGGTGGAGGAGTTGTATTTTATATTAAAAATTGTTTCTGTTCCAAAATCATACAAACAAACAATTATTGAACAATTGTGGGTTAAAATTACTTTTGGTGGAATATCTTTCGCTGTAGGTGGAGTCTACAACCCTCCCAAAAATAATGTTAAGGGGTTTCTGGATAATTTAGAAGAAACATTATCAGAACTAGTTCCTTCTTATGAGTATTTATTTTTAATGGGAGATTTTAATATGGACTTATTGAAAACCGTATCTTCTAGTGTCTTACTTGTAAATAATATTACACAATTATTTAATTTAACACAGATAATTGATAGTCCTACCTGGATCACTCCTACTACCTCAACTCTAATTGATTATATTATTATTCCAGACTTAGAAGACTTCTTAATTTCAAAAGACGTTGTCTCAGTCAAACATATTTCAGATCACGAGTTAATAATGTGCGAATTAGATTTAAAACTTAAATGTAAAACCCCGACATTTAAAGAAATAAGAGATTACAAAAACTTAAATGTAAATGATTTTTATAACGATTTAGAGAACTTACCGTTAAATAATATATTAAATATAACAGATATAAATGAAAAACTTTCATATCTAAACAATTCCTTACTATACTTATTTGATAGACATGCACCGATTAAAAAAATTCGTATAACTAAAAAGTACGCTCCTTGGCTAACAGATAATTTAAAATGTTTAATGAATTTGAGAGACAAAGCTTATAAAGATTGGAAAAAAAACAGGATTGCTTCTAAATTTGATTACTATAAACAACTCAGAAATTACACCACTCTGGCATATAAAACCGAAAAGAAAGCTTACATTCATCACCAATTCAGACTAAATGGTATGAAGGCTGTTTGGACAGATCTAAATAAACTCAATATGTTAATGAATAAAACTAAGCAAATTCCACCCACTTTGAGCGATGTTACTAACCTCAATAACTACTACCTTAATTCATTGCCTAATATAAACCCAGACATACAAAAAATTGAATATTACAAAAATCATATATTACCTGAAAACCCTTTAAAATTGAAAGTGTAACACATTCGGATGTAGCTAAAATCATCAGAAAAATTAAAACTAATGCGATGGGTATTGACCAAATAAATTTAAGAATGATAGAACTTTGTTGTCCACAGATAATTCCATATATTACAGATATTTTAAATACGTGTATTCAGAGCGGTGTTTTTCCTGATATTTGGAAGCAAGCTTTGGTGCTGCCTATTCCAAAAAAGTCAAACCCAACAGAACTAAAAGATTTAAGGCCAGTTAGTATTTTGCCAACTTTTTCAAAAATTCTAGAAAGAATAATAGAAAAACAATTGAGGGAATTTTTAAATCAAAATGAAGTTTTACCTTACCAACAGTCAGGTTTTAGACCTCTACATAGTTGCGAAACGGCCCTGTTAGCTATTACGGATGATATTTTAAGAGCCACTGATGAAAATATGATTACCGTACTTATACTTTTGGATTACTCAAAAGCCTTTGATACATTGAATCATGAAATGTCAATAGCTATTTTACATTATGTTGGACTAGACGACCTTTCCTTAGAATTCTTCAAAAGCTATGTAACTAATCGTTCCCAATGTGTTCAAATACAGAAAAATGTATCTACGCCTCTTAAGTTACCATCTGGAATAGCACAAGGGTCTATATTGGGACCACTACTATATACCGTATATACTTCTAATTTTAGAAAAGTTGTTACTAAAACCTCAATACATTTCTATGCTGATGATATTCAGATTTACTACTCCTTTAGACCCACTGATATTCAAGATGCTATTGAAACTGTAAATCATGATGTCTATAAAATTGTTGAGGAATCTAAAAGTCACTCTTTAAAACTAAATAGAGAAAAAACAAAGTTATTGTGTTTTGGGAGAGGAAGATAGTACTCTGAGCTATTAAGTAGCATAGAAATTGATATTGATGGATACAGTATTACACCATCGGGAGAGGCAAAAAACCTCGGCCTTACTTTTGACACTGTTCTAAGATTTAGAAAACACGTTACCAACTCTATTAAAATAGGATACGCTAATCTGAAAATAATTTACGGCAATCGACATTATCTAGATAAAATAGTAAAGAAAAATCTTTGTGAGGCGTTAGTATTATCTAAACTTAATTTCTGTGATAGCGTATATGGTCCGAATATTGATAACCAGGATACACGAAAAATTCAAGTATTACAAAATTCTTGTGTCAGATTGATTTGTGGGATACGCCGCCGACAACCTATTTCCAATAAATTAAATCAATTATCCTGGTTGAACATGTATAATCGCAGGCAGCATCACTCCTTGTGTCTATTTCATAAAATAATAATAAATAAATGCCCATTATATTTGTTTAACAAAATAATATACCGTCATAACATACATAATCTAAATACAAGACATAGGTTCAGACTTAATATACCCTATCACAGAACCGAAACTTTCAAGCGTTCTTTCAGTCATCAAATAGTCAATGCATTCAATTCCTCACCACATTCACTTAAAACTCTACCAATGAGCACATTTAAGGTCAAAGTTCGTAATTTACTATTTTCTAAGCAATTATTACGTACCTAGGTTCTTTGTGTTTATTGTTATTTGTAGTTAGTAAATGCAATTTAGACTTTTGGATATTTATTTACTTTTATTTGCTTTTTACATTTTTTGTTGTTTTTTTTTTTTTTCAAGGTTAGGTTGAAAAACAGAGGGTGAGCTATGCTTATGTTTAGTACAACTCACTCAGCTGACACCTCGCCTTTTTTTCACAACATTATTAAATATGTATTTTTAGAATATTGTAAATATACTTTAATTTTGTTTTATGATGTGAAAATAAAGATCTTATTATTATTATTATTATTATTATTATTACTTACCAAAATATCCGGCCTGGGAGTTTGTATTGGTACACCCATATTGGTATGGTACCTATTTTTCATTACTTTTCTAACATATTTTTGTATTTTTTTTTAGGATTCCAAATTTTGCTGCCTTCATTTGAAAATTCTAGAAGGATCTCTCTTTTTTTATAACAAACGTCGGCTTGTTCAACCTAAAAATCAGTTCGTACGATGGAAAACTTTTTCCAACACATTACTGTTATTTTTCGCTTGTTATGTTCTAATTTAACAGGTTTCCATCATACGAACTTGCCTCGTTACTTTTAAAAATTCGGCCTAACATGTACGTTACGGATAACGTAAACGTTCAATCATAGGACCAATTGTCAGTTATACTTTGAATATATATATGAATTTGGATTTTTCTCATTTTGCCTTATTTTTCTTACCATTGCTGAACTTATCCTGTTCAACAGGTTATAGGCCCAGCACGCTTCCACTGTACAAATCAAATTACTTATTTTATGATTACGTCACAATTAAATAAATTAGAAAAGAATAATAATAATAATAATAATGTTTATTTACCAGCAATATATACATTCAGATACAATAAAATAAAATAAAATCCAATAGGAAATAAAATGTAAATAAACAAGAAATGTGCCACTGAATCTGCTCACTGTACAAAGTACAATGACAGATTGTGTGTGACAAAAAATACGACAAAATAAAATAAATAAAACTTATAACAATACAATAGTAAAAATTTAAAAATATGAAGCAATTAAAATACAAATTATTAATATAAATAAAAGTTATATAAGTACAATCTTTACACTTTGATAATAAGTAAAATTTATTTCCAATATACCTCGGCATAAGTATCTCATACAACGAACATAACTTCTACATGGACAAAGAACATTTTTAAAATATTCAGATTCTTTAACGTTTATAATATACTTTCTAATTATTTAATTTCTATTTTTTTTTTATTCGATTATATTACGGAAAAAAGTTCGCGGTGTTTTTGTTATAAATTCTTTTACACATCTTTAAATTTTTTTACTGTTTTTATTTCTCGAAGCTCCGTTGGAATGTTATTAAAAATTTTTGGTCCCAAAAACCGATAGCTATTTTGTCCAATTGATTTATTCGTTCGTGGTAGCAAATAATTGTCTCTATTTCTTGTATCATATTGATGCAACGGTGTTTGCAGATCATCTTGATTTTGAAATTGATGGGTGAGTGCTGCTTGACAGAATAACTGTCGTAAGTCAAATATCTGGGTTTCTTGATACACATTTTCAGTAGGATATCTTCTATTTTTGTTTAGCATTATTTTTAAAAAACTTTTTTGAATGATCTCGATTGGCTTTAAGTGCGTTTTAGTGACTCCACCCCAACCAATTATTCCATAGTTGAGATGAGATTCGAAAAGGCTATGATACAAAATTCTCTTATGTGGTAATTCTAGCATTGGTGATATTTGAACTGATCTCCAAATATTTTATGCACATAAAGGATTTCATTTGGATTCCAAGAATAAATATCAATAAACTGATAATATTAGTTTAGTTGTCATAATTATTTTAATTACAAGTTTTAAAATACGCACATGTGCTCATTTTGTACATAAATTACTTTTCTACAGTTTCATATCATCACAATATATTATTTTCTTTTGCTACAGGAATTTTTTAAAATTTTCTTATTTTATTTTATGAATGAGTAAATATCATGAATTGAAAAATTTTAAAATTTCATTTTTCTACGATCACTATCCAAAGTAGGCTTTTTGCGCTTCGAAATACAACCGCAAAGTTGACGTTTTCCGCGAACTGACATTATGTGACAGCTTCGTTGCTGGCCTAATTTAAATTAAATATTTTGTCGATTTTCTTTAAAGGATCGTAAAAAGTATGTATACAAGAGAAATGTCCGTATATGGCCACGCATGTTGCACAAATCAGTATTATCCACAAGTAACTAATCAGGCTGAAAACGATACTATTATTATACCATATTTAATTTATTTTAAATTCATGATTTTTAGTTTAATGGATTTATCCGGATTTTTCAATTTTGTTAGCAAAGGCAAAAAATGCCATCAAATAAACATTATCTTGGTTTGATTTCATAATTCATTAGAACATAAAACAATTTACTTTCTGATGATTTGATTTGATATCGCTGCCAATGTACATAACAACGGATGATGCTCTTATATATAAAAGACATAACACTTACAAATCAGTTATAATAAATTTCTTAACAAAACCATGGATGTACGACAGTATAAAACTTTAATTTTTGGTGAATTTCGTTCCTTTGAAGGTAAGCACATATTTTTAAGGAAATAATAATGACAATTTACAGTGTATAAAGTTGACATGTACAGGGTTATTCATTATAAATTAACCACCCTTTATCATCGTTATTAATGCCTGCAGAAAAAAAAGTTTTGAATAAAAATTGTGTAGTTATCACCGACATTTGTTAAAATGCTATTAGAAATACAGTAGCGTGCAGATTTTATGAGATAAGAAAAAAAAATTTTTTTGATTGGTATATCCTGTATATTATTTAATTTTTGAAATGATCCATTCTGATTTTAAAAATATATAAGCCGTTTGTGAGGTAATAAACGTCAAATAACTTAGTTATACTTACCCAACCCTTATCATCGTTATTATTACCTATAGAAAAAAGTTTTAAATTAACTGAATTTTGTTAACATGCTATCAAAAATACAGTAGCGTGCAATTTCAGGGGATACGAAATATTTTTTTTTTGATTGTTATAACCTGTATATTATTTAATTTTTGGAATGATTCTTTGTAATTTTAAAAATATATCTTACCTCTACCGTATGCCGTTATTGAGGTATTATACGTCTTAGTTAAACCAGTTACTGTATATAAGGATAAGTTAACATTATTAAAGTAAAATATGAAAATGGCAACTATTATGATTTACAAGTGACAATTCATTAATTTTTTTTTTTAAATAAAAACAAAACATTTAATGTAACCGGTCCAAACTTTGTTTATATTGTTTCTTTTGTCATATATATCGTCGCCCATTTTACAAAAGGGCATAACTCATTTTTTGCAACTTTTGAGGAGAGCGATTTTAAGATTTTAAAAATAAGGTGGTCTCAGTTAATTCATCATAGTATGGAAATGCAACTCCCGATTTACTTGATTTTTTGAACAAGTGTTGCTAAAGAATGCAATTTGTATTGCCTTATGCTATTTATGAGTTATTGTGAGCAGTTACCTAGAAAATCAGGTTTTCTTGAGATATGCCCTTTTGAGCCGAGAATTTTCCAAAAAATTCTTGAATTAGGTCCGACGACATGCAATATTAAAACACAATACAAATTGATTTTAATGCATTTTTTGTTAACAAACATGATATTTTTTGATTTTTGTGTTTTGTAACATTATTGAGGAATATAAATGGCTTTAAGAATTTTTTTTTTTTTAAACAAAAAACAAAAAAAGCTCATAAGCTATTACAAAAAAAAAACTTAAACACAAAGATTTATTTATATTATATTGTAAGTACTTAGTCTTTGGTCCCAAGGAAAACTAATTATTCGTGGGGTAGGTGAGTGTAAAAATGCCTGTGGTCCTCCGACCTTATAACATTCTTGTCTCCTTGACATAGAGAGTCTCTATATTTAAGGTTCGGTATCTTGATTGGGCCTGTATTTAATTTAGGAACTGGTTTCTTAAGAGTGTGATTAGACTCTATATTTCTCTTAAGAGAAATGCTGCTGTATGATGAGCAGCTAAGTTTAGTTTTGAACTGAATTGTATTTGGCTTTAGTTTCGTAACTAGCAGCTCAGATACCTTTGTCCAGTCGACGGTGTCACTGGAATTGCCACATTTTCGAATGGTCAGGATTCGTAGATTTTTAGACAGTTCCTTGTAAACTAGAAACTTTTCAGGATTCATCTCTTTTACATTGTAAGGGTGTTTGCGTCTAGCCAGTCTTATTATACTTGTTAATTGTGAGGGTATAAAAATATCTCCCGCTCCTTTAACGGCATATCCGGCATATCCTATGGCAATATGTGCACTATCCCCTTCACTTTGTCCGTGGTGGGGCTCAAAAAAGATGATACGAATCTCATCTAATGTAGTGTTGTTATTTATGCAATAAAGAATCATTGTGGGTAAAATTGTATTTTTGTTTTGACCAGCACAGCCATCGCAATATTAGTGAATAACACTTTTGTTTTCGGATTCAATTTTTTTTATAGAAGTGTAAAACCTCAGATGACCCTCTTTTGCTAATTGCCTCGTGTCATAAATAGCAATCACAGTCTCTAGATGCTATATCATATAGAGTGAAGTTGTAAATTGACAACCTTCTTTTGTAGAATACAGCACTCTCCTTTGATATTGGAAGTGAAAAAACTTGTTGCAAGTCGAAAACAGCACAAGCATACTTTGATTTCGGTTGCTGAGACATTTGTTTACTTTCATCTTTCATTTTGCTAACGATTCATATTCTAGTGATAACTCCTTTTTTTTCTTCATCGCCATTATTATATGACATACAAAGGCTGCATTGATCCTTTTTGGGTCGGTAAAAGGATGGGTTCATACATTTGAATACTTTGCGGTACACAGAATAAGCTACTTTCATTAGAGGTCCAGATCATAGAATATAATAATTTTTATTAACTATTTTACATAAATCTTTTTCTTCTTATTTTTTGGACCTAGATTCCACTTGAAATTAAAATATAATCAAAATAAACAAATTTGAATATAAATATGAATTAAAAAAATATATGCAATAAAATGGTGAAACTTTCATTAAAATATTTATTAAACTTAGGATAAACATTGTCTTCATCCTTTTCCTTGTTATAAATCTTTTTTTCCAATTTTTTATCTATTATATATTTCTTTGTTGTCAAGGTATCTGCATCTGTATCTGTATCTGTATCTGTATCTGTATCTGTATCTGTATCTGTATCTGTATCTGTATCTGTATCTGTATCTGTATCTGTATCTGTATCTGTATCTGTATCTGTATATGTATCTGTATCTGTATCTGTATCTGTATCTGTATCTGTATCTGTATCTGTATCTGTATCTGTATCTGTATCTGTATCTGTATCTGTATCTGTATCTGTATCTGTATCTGTATCTGTATCTGTATCTGTATCTGTATCTGTATCTGTATCTGTATCTGTATCTGTATCTGTATCTGTATCTGTATCTGTATCTGTATCTGTATCTGTATCTGTATCTGTATCTGTATCTGTATCTGTATCTGTATCTGTATCTGTATCTGTATCTGTATCTGTATCTGTATCTGTATCTGTATCTGTATCTGTATCTGTATCTGTATCTGTATCTGTATCTGTATCTGTATCTGTATCTGTATCTGTATCTGTATCTGTATCTGTATCTGTATCTGTATCTGTATCTGTATCTGTATCTGTATCTGTATCTGTATCTGTATCTGTATCTGTATCTGTATCTGTATCTGTATCTGTATCTGTATCTGTATCTGTATCTGTATCTGTATCTGTATCTGTATCTGTATCTGTATCTGTATCTGTATCTGTATCTGTATCTGTATCTGTATCTGTATCTGTATCTGTATCTGTATCTGTATCTGTATCTGTATCTGTATCTGTATCTGTATCTGTATCTGTATCTGTATCTGTATCTGTATCTGTATCTGTATCTGTATCTGTATCTGTATCTGTATCTGTATCTGTATCTGTATCTGTATCTGTATCTGTATCTGTATCTGTATCTGTATCTGTATCTGTATCTGTAATCTGTATCTGTAACGTGTGGAGGGTGGGTTACTCCACGTCACTTAGTCCTCACTAGGCCCTTTGTGTATCCTTCTAAGATGATAGGCACCTCCTAGCTCGTGAGCCAGCCTACAGATTTAATGTAGTTGACAAGGGGCTTCTTTTATATCTTTTAATAAATAAGAGCGTCGAGCAAATGTAGAGGAATATGCTCGATGGTATCATCTTCTTGTTCGCAACCCCTGCAGAATGCGGATTCTGACAGACCGTACTTGACAATGATCAGTCAGAATGCCTGTGATTAGGCGCAGATTCTGACTAGTCATAGTCATTTGTTTGCTGCAGTGTTGTTGTCAAGGTATTAATATGTGATTTTGCGTCTAAAACCATATATTGGGAGTTGCAAAAAAAATTGTTAAATTCAAAATAATCACACAATTGTTTTTATTGATCTTATCAATTTCAATAAGAAATATTTTTGTTGTTGTAGATGACCCATTTTATTGGATGATCGACTTAGCAACATTGCTATACCGAAAAAAATTTCATAAAATATTGTTGGCAATTATAGTTTGTTGTTTTATAAGATTCTTTGTCCTTTTATTACAATCTGTCCATCATTCAATTATATCAGTTGAAGATATTGAATCGAATTTGGTGACAATTTCATCTGCACTAATAGTGAGTATTTTAATCTTACATTTAATATAATGAAAATGAAAATAAAGTTGCCACGTACATAATAATTCGTGTTAGTGAGTGAGAATAAAAAATTAGACGAAAATAACGATATTTACTGGAACCTTCATCTACACTTTCCTTTTTCTAGCCAGGAAGATTCGTCTTCCCTCCATCCGTACATTCTCTCAAGATTTACAGAGAAAACTCCGAGTCTTCTTTCACATATTCGGATCTTTATTACATTATCAGCATTACTTTACATTATCAGCCTTATTTGTTGTCCCGTGCAATTTAAATGCATTCGTAATTTCTCATTCTCACCATATTAAATTACTAACCTTGGATCCGCCTATTAGTCCAGTAACTGAAGACCTGAAAATATGCAAAGCTGTCATTAAGTCGGTTCAGATTTCCTTTGTGGCTCAATTTTTAGGTCTTGACAGTTGCTTTCAAGGACGAAAACTTTTACCAACACTGCTGGGTCGGAAAGGGCTCAAAATGACTCCTAAAGTCCGAAAAAATGGTTTCCCGCTAATATCTGCCAAAATATACAAATTAGACAATTTTTGTTTAGATAAAAACTGATTATCTACAAAAATGGTCCCTACAATTTTTTTCGCAAGACGGCCTTCGAAAAAGCCCGAATTTTTGCACTGAATAGAAATGTTAGTTTCTCGCTGAATTTCTGCTTGAGGGAGTTGGGAATACATTGATTTTCATGTTTTGGACTTTGGAGACCAATTGTAGATGGCGCCAGCGGCATACCTCTGCTCACTAAATTAAGGGGGCCTATGAATGGACATCCGGGCACCAATAGATCTTTCGACAATTATTGGCGGATTCTACGGGATTTTTTCTGTAAAGTAGCGCTTGGGGTATCTCATCTATATTGCCGAATGTTCTGTGTAATTTGCGTTGCAAAATTTAATAGCAAAGTGCAAAAACATTTTTTTTTCATGTGGCAGTCTCAAATCCCGGCGCTTTGCCTAATAGTGGGTTACTAGTTTTAGAGTATGATGAATATTGACCCGAGAAGACTCTTTATATTTTCTGCGTCTTTAGCAAAATTTTCGCCAACTTCTATCGGAACAATATAGGTCCAGGATTTCAGAAAAATAAGAAAGTTTCAGAAAAATTTATTTTATTATGAAAAACATGTTGAAAATACGAAATACATAGCAATGCTTATAATTTATCATACGTTAAACCATTCAATGTCATCAAAATCATACTCTTCATCGTCTTGCTCTTGCTCTATTCCTTCCCCTCCTCCACGCGTCCCTTCCCCCAGTTTTTCCAACCCCTGTGTTGCTGTCTCGACAGCTATTTCATCCTCCTCCTCTTCAGCCCCTTATGGGTCTCGATCCATCTCTAATTCTTCCGGGAAAATACCTTCATTTTTGTTATAATTAAAACACTGTGTCGACTGACACGAACCACAGACAGACGAGCATTTCAGTCCGGCTTTCAAACATGAACAATTCGTCTCGCAGCCTGTCTTGCACTGACAAAAAATCATCTTCATGAGTTTCGGGGAGGCTGGATCCCTTTTACACTTAATTTCATTAATTTTTCCGGTAATTTACACTTTCTTTGTAAAGCAAATCTTCTAGAAGTGCCGCTAAAAGCTCTGTATCTAAAGGACTTTCTATTTTATGTTTGTTTTAACCTAAAAAAAAAGAATAACAGTAGAAATAATTATATGATAGATATAGCAACAAAAGACTTACCTCAACCCCAAATCTTCGATATATATTCCACTTTAACTCATTTGTGTTAAATATAGAAAAGAAAAGTAATCATTGTTTATTATTGTACTACTCGAACCCAGAATCGTGAATTTTCTTTAAATATACGAAAGAAATATATAACAACCGACAATAACGACTCCAAAAACAATAGAGATTGTATACCAACAAAAGCAGATGATTAAGGTGAGCGCGTGACGCGTCGGTACACGTGGTTAGGTTATGATGGAATATCATGGATCTCAGGCGGAGAGCGTAACAATGGGGGAGATAATTCTAACAAACAGTTAAGAACCACTCTCACATACGGGGATCAATTAATAGAAATGAAAAGGTGAGAATATCAGCTTCACTTCGGTCTGGGTATTAATGTTCAAAAAATGAACAGCGGGGAATAAGAAGTATTAAAAAAAAAAGTCCGGTCTTCCCCGGTGTGATCAATTTTCCCGATTTCTGGAAAATGGAGCAACTTTATTAAAAAAAAAATACATTCGAAAAGTAGACACTCTAAGCTTTAAAATGGTGTGAATTGAATAACAATATAATGAAATATGAGTTTTTAATTACTGCTTGTTTCAAAGATTTCTCCGAAAACGTATGAAAAATGCAAATACACAAATTAATTTTATTTTAAAACGCTAGGAAGATACAGGAAAAAAATTTCTGAGATCATTCGAGACATCTCAAGATCCCATTTAAAAAAAAAAAATGGAATAAAAAACTATTAAAAGAAAAAATATGAATGAATTACTATAAAGTGGTCCAAAATAGTGGGAAAACGCAACTTTGACCCCTTTTTCAATATTCTTGACAGGAAATAACGGGCTTCAAGGCATATGGATCGATACCTATGAGTTTTCCCATGGTAATGAACTTTGAATCATCGAAAAATATCAATTTTTGACCGAGTTCTGAAACAATTTGTCCACCTGTTTACAAGCTAATCAGCATTGCTATAGAGATAAAGCAGGGGCTGAACGAGGGGACTTTTGATAGCGGTTATCTCGAAACCTGTCGAATTCCCGACAAAAATGATAGGAACCATTTTTATAGATAATGATAAGATCTTTCTTTTTTATCTAAATAAAAATTCTCTAGTTTGCATATTGTGGAAGATATTGGCGGGAAACCAGTTTTAGGGTCCATTTTGAGCCCTTTCCGACGCAGCAGAGTTGGTAAAAGTTTTCGACCTTGGAAGCGATCGCCGATACCTAAGAGTTGAGCCACAACGGAAATCTGGACCGACTTAATGACAGGTTGGTCCCTTCAGTTACTGGACTATATCCAGTGCCTACATTTTCTACTCATGAATTTAAACTTTTCTGTTTCAGGCGCTGCTGCATTATCTCATATTTGCAAGAACAACAGACCAGGTTAATAGTTTGATGGAGCAAACAAAAAAACTTCGCATTCCCTACAATTTATTAAATGACTCGTTGAAAAAAGAAATTGATAGAATCAACTTTAATTCAAAAAGCCTGTGTTGCTTTTGCACTTGTTTCATCTTGATAGGATCCATAGTTGCCTGGTTAAATGTAAAGAAACATCGAGAAATATCGTTTGTTTTATTGACCCAATTTTTTAAAAATGAACTAGTGTACTATTTGGTCACTTCAGTTTGTGTGTTGCATTCTATATATTTTTTTTATAGAACTGTACTTATTGGTTTCTATTTCCAATGTCATTTAATATTTTTCCAGAAAATATTAAATAGCCAAATAACAAATTTCATAGAAACTGATAATGACGAAGATGGAACTTTAGACTTTATATATGACGTACAATATCAAAGGAAGGTTCAAAAAAAAATTAAATATTTTTTATTGCAAACAGCAAAGGCAAAAGAGTAAGTAAAACGTAATTATGAATAAAAAATTTTGCATCCTACTCATTTTGAAAATATACGGTGTAGTTTAAGAAATCGATATAGACTGAGTTATAGCCATGAAACTATATAATCCTATATTTAAAATTCCACAATGATTACAAAATTTTTCAAACTTTTGATAATATTAAATTCAAATTAGGGTACCATTGGGTACCATTGGAGAGAGAATTAAACGCCCTTTAAAATGATGTACCACTTCTAGAGAGAGAATCGGCATTTGTATGACTTATTCCGGCTCGATGTTCAATCTTGGACTCGTACTCTTGAAGTCGTTCAAACCATCTAGCGATTTGACCCTCTGAGTTCTAAAATTGCATTAACCACTTAAGGGCTGCATGATCGGTCCGGATTAAACATTTACTCCCGTACAGGTATTGGTAAAAGTGTTTCACGCACTTTACAACTGCCAGGAGTTCTCTTCTTGCGACGCAGTAATTTCGTTCAGGTTTCGAGAACACTTTACTAAAATAACCTCGTACTCTTTCTTTCCCTTCCTGAATCTGTGAAAGCACTCCTCCAATTCCCATATTACTAGCATCAGTATCCAGGATAAATTCTCCCTCTGGTAGTGGATAGCCTAGTGGATAGCCTGTTGTTAAATGCTTCTTTATTGTTTCAAAGGCAGTTTGGCAGTCCTCGTCCCAGCAGAATTTTCTCGCTTCTTCTGTAAGTCGTGTTAATGGCTTAGCAATATTTGCAAACTTCCTGATGAATCTTCGATAGTACGTACAAAGCCCAAGAAAACTTCTTATTTGATGTTTATCCTTCGGTTGTGGCCACTCTTTGATAGAAACGACTTTTTCCTTATCTACAGCCACGCCATCCTTGCTGACTGCATGACCCAGGTAATTAAATTTATTTTGGAATAGCTGGCATTTCTTGGAGTTAAGCATCAGTTGGGCAGCTTGAAGTCTTTTAAAAACATCTTCTAAGTTCTTTAGATGTTCATCAAATGTCTTCCCCAAGACTATGATGTTGTCTAAATACACCAGGCATAGTTTCCAAGATAACCCTCTCTATACATTTTCCATAAGTCTTTTAAATGTCGCGAGGGCATTACATAGTCCAAATGGCATGACATTGAATTGCCATAATCCAGATCCGATTCTTTGTCGTCTCCAGTTCACGTTCTTCTTATTCTCGACGTAGCTCGGTCACTTTTAAATCACACAGTCTTTTAACCATTATTGTCCACTATTTATTTACACTATCCCACTGTTGACACCAATGTGATGTTTGTTTATTTTAAACATCAGTTTATTTATTAATAATTTATTTAAACACTTATTTATTTTATAACACTACTATTCTAATTTATATATTTCGAATGTCTTTAAACTGTTCACTATTTCTCTTCACTGTCCATATATAACTGACTGCGTTGTTCCTCCACCAATATTTATATACAAATTTAAAATTATGGTGAGGGTTCCAGAATGCTCCTCGTCTCGTTATATTTGGAATATACTAGAAACATTATCCAGTTCTTTCTCGAATAGTAATCGAAAGCACCTCCGCCATAGTCGTCACATATGTTTGGTCTTAACGGGTTTATGTATGACAATCGGACAAGCTGAGCCTCAAAGGCCAAAAGGGACAGAGAGGTACTTGGAGGATTAGACCCAGCTAGCACAAAAACATCCCATCTACGTTAATAAGCTGCAATTTTAGGCTCTTTAAGCTCGCATGCAACTGTAAATGTAACCCTTATCTCCCTGCAACTACCGAATGTCCGCAACGGCAAGACTTTTATAGCACATCTCACAGAAGTTACAAAGTGAAGTTCGAAAAACATCACACTAGCACTTTTACGGTACTTACCCCGAAAGTTGCTCTGAAACGTTCTATTGATGTTATAATGTGAATTAGATCTACAGCATTATACAGTGTGTCCACGAATGGGCTTAACTATACTTGTGAAAATATTTATTTTAAATTAAAAAAGTAATTCTTCATAATTTCTTGCTTGTTAAATAAATTCGATTCACATTGAGAAATTATGAAAAATAACTTTTTCTCTAATTTAAAATAAATATTTTTACAAGTATAATTAAGTCCATCCATGGACACACATTGTGTAATGTAATACAGAGAGGCTGAAATTGAGGCTATAGTAAAATCTCAATCGAGACATGAAAATTTCAAATAAAACAAAATATTTATATAAATTTATTATTAAAATGTTCTTGAAATCAAGTACCAATAGCACAAAAGTAGAGGTAGGTGTAGGCGTGTTCTTTTATTCAGTGCTATATCCAGCGCTTGCAGCAAACCGTTCGTAAATTAAGAATTAAGATTGTATGTGTCAATCATTCTTTTTTCCAGCGGTGAGTTCACCAATGAGCCAAGGCATCCATCGGCTTTAAAAGCCGATGGATGCCTTGATGGAACAATTATTGAATAAAAGAACACACCTTATATCACAAACACAAGTACACATGTGGGATAGAAGAAGCTACCTAGAAAGCACTGAACGATTGGACAAAATTAGCTAAATAGTATAATAAGGTACCAATATTGCAAAGGTTCACTAAAACCTTAAATGGTGAACGATGAGAAAGCTAGATTGGTGAAAAATAATAAACGAATACAACAATGACTAGGTACATATTATTATATTAGATTACTAGAGGATAGCTAAGTTCGCTGATTTCTTACCTAAGACGCAGAGATATATCTTTTTTAAATCGAGCCTTTTAACTTTTTTTGCATAGATATTTATAAAGTGCTATAATGTAACCTAAATATGACAATTTATTAGAAGAGCATAAATTATATTTTTATATAAAAAGATTTTACTTCTCAATACATTGAATAAAAAAGAAATTGATAACTTGTTTACCTATTATTAATTAAAGGAAATTATATAGAAATTAAAAAATATGCCTTACTTTGTTGTTTTAAATAAAAAAACAACCAATGTTAGTGTATTGAAATTTGTTTGAATTTTACAAATTTTATGCTTGATTTCCAAAGTAGATATATCGATGGCTCAATCAAAAACCGCCACAAGTCAAAAAACAAAGCAATTACATTTTTGGTTCAATGGATGCAAAATATCATTACGGTTTTATTTTATATACCACCACAAACAAAAATATCCTTAAAGATAAATAATTTAAAATGTAGCCACAAACTGTGTCTAAAACTGCCTCAATTCGAGTTATTTTCTTCAAAAACACCCAAATTTTTTACAACTATGCAACAACTCACTTTTATAATCGTAATCATTTTATTTAACAGCAAAATATCGAAGCTTTTAAATAAAATATAAAGAGTATGTCAAAAACAAAATAATGATAATAGAGACTTACAAAATTTCAAAATGAAATTTCTCGAAATAATAGTATTTTAGTTGTGGCAGTATTTGATTGAGCCATCGATATGTAGATTTTATAAAAAACAACTGATATACCTGACATATCATGTACCTATACATTCACTTTTTATAAAACTTCAGGTGTTATATTCTTATTTACACTTCTGTAGTATTTACTTTTGCTTCTAAAATTCCTAGAATGTCGAAGGAAACCTAAAAAATAATATTTTTAAAATGTATTTTTAGTTCGATAAAGTATAATTACCTTTTATAAGTATTTGGTGTAAAATGTTGCCGGACATTCGGTTAAATGTTTATCTTCTGGTTTACAACGATTGATCTGCAATTCTTTGTTTTTATTGTAGTTTTTTTTTATTTGGTGCCATCATGGTGTCATCGGCATCGACTGCTAAAGATACTTAATGAATGAAATAATAAATTTACATCAGGCATTGTAATCTGAAACAAAGACAATGGTTTAGAAAATAGTTATCTATTTTATAGAGGACCCTTACCAAATCTATTCGAATGTATAAATAATAATTATTTATAAAATAAATTCTGGATGTCGAAAAATAAACCATTAAAAAAGACAATTGACAAGAAAAACTGACAAGTGACAATTGACATAAAACTAAACGTTCTGAATTCAGATTTGTAATGTTTACGGTAGGTTAACTAGGTAAATAACAAATAGAAGTTTTGCGAGGTTTTGATTTCCCTCAACAACTTCTCATGAACGTTGCATTTACGTTGTACAGTAATGTTATTACGTTCCCTTAATGCAACATCGCCGAAAGGCTTGGCAACGTTATGTGCTAGCTGGGTATACCAAGGTGTTCTAACTTATGTAGTAATCTTCGTTTCGGCACACGATCAAAAGCTTTCGCAAAATCCAGGTAAATAATGTCTATAGGTTTTTTCCTGTCTAATGAAACTGTCCACTCATTTACACACCAAAGCAAATTGGTCATGGTTGATCGCCTTTTACAAATCCATGTTCCTGTTTGGGAATGATTTCTTCCGCTAAGAGAAACTGAGAAACGTGCTCTGTTATTATGGATTCCATAACTTTACATATTATGGGTGTGAGGCTGATTGGGCGGTAGTTATTAGAGTCTAGTTTGTTTCCTTTCTTGAAAATGGGTGTTACAGAAGCTGTTTTCCAGATAGAGGGTAATGTGTGTGTATTAAAAGACAAAGACATTATAATAGATAAAGGAACTGATATGATATTAGAGCATTGTTTTAAAAATAGAGAAGATATTTGATCTAGACCCAGAGAGGAATTGTTTTTTAATTTTAAAAGGTGACGTTTGACAATTTCAGGAGTAAAATTGAGCCGTTCTAAGGAAGAATGGATTCTTTCGGGTGAGATATCTGGTAACTGATCCTGGGGAGGTTCATTAGTGAAAACTTTTGTGAAGGTATTAGCTAAAAGTTCAGCCGTTTCGAAATTATTTTGGCAGGGACTTCCATCTTCTTTGTTTAGTAAAGGAATGGATACTTTTGATGACAGTGAAGATCTAATATATTTGTATAATTTTTTACAGTTTTGGCTGCATGCTATTGACTCTTCATATTCTTCTCGGGCCTCATTTATAAATTTCTTTAGGTCCTTGGAAAAATTTTTGTGATATTCTAGATCGACAATACTATTTGACCGCTTATATTTACGCCATAATTTACTTTTATGTCTAATCAAGGATATTAGTTCTCCGTTGATCCACGGTTTTAATTTATTTTTATAAAACACCTTCTTTTTAGAGTATTGCATTTTATGAGTAGCAATAAAAATTGCGAACTTATTCCATACTTCTTCCGGATCTCCCGAGTCCCCCAATGTTTCTATCCAGTCGATGGTAGATAAATGACGATTTAAGTTATCGAAATCGATGATTTCATAAGATGAAGTATGATCTTTGTGAGATGGGTTCTCTATGTTAAACTGTATACGACTTATGATAATGATAATGAGTTAATAATTGTTTATCATTTACAAATAACAAATCTAGCGTGAAAGGAATATTGTTGACTCGGAATCGTGTTGGATCTGTTATAAGTTGTTGTAAATTAGAGCTTAGAACAAAGTTCAAAAATTTATTTTTTGAATTTACAACATCACTTGGAGTGAGAGTAACTGGCCACGAAATATCTCGGAAATTGAAATCACCAATAATAATGACATTTTCTAGTGAAGACAGATATTCAAGTTTTTCAATAAGGATTGTATCTTCAGCTAGTTGAGAGTATCCGGGACGATAAATACAGACTAAATGAAGAGTAATAGAGCTAGAATAAATTTTTAAACCTAATAATTCCATATTAGGGACACTAATGTCAAGAGGAGTAACAAAAAATGTTGTGTAATATCTGATGATAAATAAATACAGACACCTCCACCGCGACGGTCTCTTCGATCGCATCTGTATAGAGAATAATTCAAAATATCATACATAGAATCAGAATCATTTAAAGTTAACCATGTTTATGTGATTATTTACTAAAAGGAAGAGATTCAGGGTGAGAGGTTTTCGGTGTGTCACCCTGTATCAATTTTGTGACAGTGTTGTTTAAAAAACAATAACAAAAAAAAAATCCAATTAATTGGGTTTACATATTTTAAGCATGCTTATCATCTTTTGAAACTTAATGGAATAATATTTTTCGATTTTTTTGCATTGTTTTTTGGCACGAGTATTTTGTGACGTCGGGGATTTTGTCTCCGGGGATTTGGTAGCGGGGATTGGGGATGTGGTCGCCGGGGTTTTTGGCTGGCACCCTATTTAAACACTTATTTATTTTTTAACACTACTATTCTAATTTATATATATATTTCGAATATCTTTAAACTGTTCACTATTTCTCTTCACTGTCCATATATAACTGAGTGCGTTGTTCCTCCACCAATATATATATATATATATATATATATATATATATATATATATATATACAAAATTAAAATTATGATGAAGGTTCCAGAATGCTCCTCCGTCAAACTAGAAATATCTTGTTATATTTGGAATATACTAGAAACATTATCCCGTTCTTTCTCGAATAGTAATCGAAAGCACCTCCGCCATAGTCATCACATATGTTTGGTCTTAAGGGGTTTAATTATGATAATCGGACAAGTTGAGCCTCAAAGGCCAAATAATACAAACAGGGACAAAGATAACTTGCCGAATTTACTAGGGTTAAAAAAAATTAAATCCGGTCCACTCTGTATACTAATATAGTTTTTGTCTTTTTCTCCTTTTTAGAACAACGAAATGCATTAGTTCGCTTTATAAATATCGTGGCTTTATAATACTGACAGGCTCAGCTGTGTTACTAGGTATCCATTTGCTACCTGTAATTTCAAGGGTGAGTAATTTTTTAATTATTGATTTATAATTGGCGGCGGATTAAAGAAAAAACACAGTTTATTATCTGGTGATACAAATTTGTACTGGGAAATTTAAGAAGTGATCTTTTAATAGAGAAAGTTATTTACATACTCTGATAAAGATAAGGTTATATGACCAAAACAATAATCGCAGCGAGTTGTCCTTAATCCTTAGACAGAGGTAAACTAAAGGTGGATTCATAAACTACGTTCAGTTCGCGCTCAGTTGCAGTTGGCAAGACATAACCACAAATTCCACAAAATAAAATTATATTTTGGTGTTATTTTTGTTTTAATTATATTGGTAGATGGTGTTGGTTATAAAATAATTATGAATCCGTTATAACTTCTTATCCAAAACATACTTACCGTGTCATTTTGCTCTGTTTATTTTGAACTCGAACTGAGCGTGAACTGAACGTAGTTTATGAATCCACCTTGAAGCATGTAACTACATCTAACGAGGCATTTGTCTTTACAAGCTTACTAGAACATACTATAATAAAAAATAACAAAATCAAAACAACCTAAAAATTCTTAAAATTCCAATTTCATTTATAAATGACCAAACTTAAATTAAGTTTGACATATGACATTAAATAATACGTTACTTGACGTCACTAGAGTAACCACAATACTGTAACCAAGCATGTTGAAGTAAGCTTATAAAGAAATGCCTCATATTAGATACATGAATTATATTTTTTAATGACAAAGATACCTTTTTAAAAAGTTTATTTATACTTAAATGACTAAATGAACATATGATATACAAATACTAGCTAACACCAAGATTTCAATAACCACAATGCTACTCGTTTGAAGTCAGGGTTCCTATTTATAATGTCTTATCTTTATTAGTTTTAAAAATATACATCATTAGTATTTAATTACATCGATTATCAAAGAATGTGGACCACATAACTCATGACATTAGAAAGAGATTGACAAATGACGTTAACAGAATGTCAGCTGTCAATAAATCAATTTTAATCTGGATAATTTGTCGATCACAATATTAATATGTTTTGTTAATTAAAATAAACCTTTTAGAATGATTTTGTAATACCTGTAACGTCCAAATGTTTTTCATTTGTTATTTTATTTTAATTATTTAATGTTTAACATTTTATGACACACCTGATTTAATTAAAATAATTAGTAAATATCCGATACAAAAATGATTACTTTGTGTTATTATTATCAAATAATGTACCTCATTTCTTAATTAACAATAGTTAAGAAAGAGTAGTTTGGTATTACAGTTCATCAAATTTCTAGAGGCTTTCGACGGCTAGACAGAGAAAGCACTACTGACAGGCATCCCGACGGATTTACGCAATGAAAGTACACTCTGCGCATCAAGTATTTCACTATTTCATTCAGACGTAAATGTCAGATGTAAATTTCGCTAAAACATTTCTTTTATTTTCGTTTGTGTTTTTTGCTCATTACAGTTTAATAGAACCTAAGTATGGAGTTTAATAGCAAATTAAGAGGCCGCGTGATTAACAGTCAATCTCGCGAAATAATAGCCAATGTTATAGAGTTTATGAGAAGGGAAGGAAACTTTAATTCACCTTCAATACCATTTAAAAATGTAAATGATCGTGCTGCTGCAGCCACAGGAGTATCTAAAAACACTGTCGTCCGCATTTCTGGAGAGAAAAAAAGAATCGATAACCGTGAGATATCGGAATTTTCATCACCAAGAAAAACCATTAAAAACCAAAAACAGTTAATGATATAGATGAAGCTGCACAAGAATCAAATTTTATTTTTTTATTATTAGATAGCTATTTTTGTTTCTGAGTTGTGTTCATTTACAGGCTCAATTTTTTTCCGTTTCTCCTTTTTGATTTTATATGGGGTTTCAAGTTGTTTTTGACTTATTTCGACGTAAATCACAACACACTTTTTTAATAAAGCAAACAAGTGTTAAGAGGTATATGTACGTGTAAACTACAATTACAAAAAATTGATATGAAACCCATGAAACCACCAACAAAAATGTAAAGCTAGCTTCCGTACTAGAACATGGTGTCATTCGTCGAGATAATTTATCGTTTTGTTTAATAGATCAAGAAATGTTAATATTCCCCTGTTATTTTTTATAAAATTATAAGAGAAATAAATTTTTTTCTAAATAGTATAGTTTATTATTTTGTAGAAAAACAAAATTTCGAAAATTTTAGTAATGTTTCAGAAACAACCGTTATTAATAATAGGTACCATTTTCCTTAATAAGGTAGAAATAAAATATAAACTATTTCCACGATTTACAAAGGCCTACAAAAAAATTATAGGTATTTTCCGCTATCCTATAAAATTTATATTTTCTGACTCAATTTCAAAAGGTTGAAGGAATTCCAAAACACCTTTTATGGCATAATAATTATTTTCAATTCTACATACTATCTTTAGCTGCTTTTAAAAACGTTCTAAGAAAGTCCAATCAGACCAATTCAATCCCTAAACTATTCCACACTTTTAAAATTTAATTACCTAAAAATATTAAAAACTATTTAAAATAACTTGTTTAGCAGACTGTACAATAGCTATCTTAGTCACACGTAGCGCGTTCTCTGTCTGGGCGTCGAACACCTCTAGAAATTTGATGAACTGTATAGAGGTAAAAAATTAAAATGGGTATCACAGCAACCGTTTTTTTTAACAATTATTTTTAGTAAACATCAAATTTTCATTGCAGAGTACAGAATTCGATTTGAACGTTCTGCTAGTTTTATCATCAGTTGTAGTACATCTCACACTTTTTTTTTTAATAGGCGAAGTAGGAAACACACTTATGACAGAGGTGAGCTATTATAAATGTTTATTTATTGTGCAAGTTATTTCTAATTTATATGCGTTAAATATACCTATATCTTCTTGAGGAATTAATATTCAAGCAACTTCATGCCTTAGGTGGTGCAAATCCATTATTAAAACATGTACCATACATGTTCAATAGGTGAAAGATCAGCAGATTCAGCTGGCCAAGGAAGAAAAGGTAACTTGAGTATCACGAAGGTACCTGACAGTGACGGTTGTTGTATGAGATCTAGCATTATCCTGTTGCAAAATTAGTGTTTCCAGCTGATGAAGATATTTTATAGCAACTGCTACTAAAACATTGTGCTTGGAGTCCTGAGCATTCATGTTTCTTCAAAGGAATACTAATGGAGACCTGCTTCCATATGAAATTGCACCCCATACCATAACTCTTCGGGTAACCATTGTGTTACGTTCTAGGCAAAACTGAATTTCCCGACTGTCACCATATCTTCTGTTACCTTCCAACTTCCCTGTAAACGTAGTCCGCTTTCATATCCAATGGTTGCCACAAAATGAACTTACCAAGGCAACTTCTACAGGCAACGCAAAGAGTTTCGACTGTCTAATGAACAGCCCTGGCTCCGGTTTCGCTCTGAGTGGAGAAGGCGTGGTCCTATTAGTACCAAGACTCACAGTATTCGAATATGGGCACCAGACCGATTTAAATGCCAGATAAATATGTTTCCTTGTCCTTACCTAAATCGATCAAATAACAAAAACTACTGTTTTCATTATTGTTAACAGCACTTCTGGCAGAAACAGCTGAGACCGTATCCCAGAATTACCAAGACATTGAAAAGAAGAAAAAGTAGCCTAATTCTCGACCGTCAGAACCAGAATCGAACGGACTTTGACCATAACAGAGTCCACACTTGACTTTTTCAAACGTCACGTCAGTTAAGTCCAGCTGAGACTGTCAAAATATGTGTAACAACAAATAGATATTAAATTAATAGAATTATGAACTAAAAATACTGTATACGAGTTTTATAAGATCCCATAATACTGAAATACATGAGGTTAAACAATAAACCAATCAAAAGTTAAATAAAGGTCCCAATAAAACTATTTAAATTACACCCTTAGGTTAAAGAGACCGAAGATGTAACATTGCACACTGCGCATGTTATCTATTTTATGCCAAAGTAACCCACCAATTGAAAATCATTGTTGCACGACGCCACCCGAATTGCTCCGATTTCCATTCAGCGATCACCTCCACCTGAGTTTAATCACCATTGACAGCTGTTTTTTGATTTATTTGTTGGTATTTTAGCAATTTAAAGTGTTCTAGTTTTTCAAGTTCAAAATGTCACGATGTATCTTGAAAAATTGTATGTACTTATAATACAAGTACTACTGTTATGAATATATTTGTTTTCAGCGGTAAATATTTATTAACGTTTTGACATAAGGCGCCATGATTCTCTGGGCTGAATACTTCAGATCCGCATTAAGGGGTTTCAATAAATATTAAGCATCAGAAATCAGATTTCATATTACTTACATAAATTTACAAAAGGGTAAAATTTTGAACATTTAATTTAAATAAATAGTAAATAGGCATTATTGCTAACGAAATTTTGTATTTAAAAAGTAGTTTTATAAGAATGTTTTCTAAAGGTAGTTTTTAGCCCTTTTTGGTAGATAAATAAGAGGTAAAGAATCATAGTTGCTAGCTAAATTTTATATTTATAAGGTATTTTTATAAGGTATTTTTATAAGAATATTAGATGAAATACAGGATGACCTACTTAAAATTTCAAGGTTCATCTTATTTGCGGTCAAATCGAAAATGACATTGAATTTTCAGTCTTAAAACAAAGTAATCTAGTATAAGCAAAAAAAAAATATTAAAGTTACAGGAGTTAGGTCCGATTCCACCATTGTGTTAAACGGAGATTAAAATGACAGCGTTAATGTAAAAATGTCATTTTAAACTTCGTTTAACACCACGGTGGAATCGACCCTTAGTCACGTTAATAAAATGTTACATTACAAACCTCTAAACAACTCGAACATAATTTTCGTTTACTAAAAAAAATCCAAAATTTAGCAATATTTATTTATTATACAATCGAATGCGATTTCAAAGATAACTGGATCAAAAAATCCGAATCTCTAAATTTTGGAGCTAAATGCTCAGATAAAAGCAAGCGACCGATAGGGGTTACAAAAATAATCGATTTATCGATAATTCTGATATTTTTTAATGAAAATCGATTTATCCGCTGTTTTTAATAAATTATTTTCGTTTTTTTAAGATAATGTATTAATCGATTTTAAAAGAAATACAAAAAAAGTAGATTTATTCAAAATAATCGTTTAATCGGTTTTTTTAATTATTTGATTATTTTCGATTTTTCGAAGATATTATATGAAAATAATCGATTGAATATAATCGGTTATTTTACATAATCGATATTTTTGTTATTTTTTTAAAATTATCGATTTATTGGATAATCAGCTTTTTAATAATCAATTATTTTCGATAATCGAATAATCAATTTCAAAGGAAATATGAAAAAAGGATTATTAGAAAATAATAGATAATTAGTTTTATTTTTTGGAAAATCGATTTATCATAGAATCGGCTTCTTAATTAATTGGTTATTTTCGATTAGGCGATTATTTTGGAATTATTGATTATTTTTGGTATTTCAAAGATAATCGAATTATCGATTTTAAAGGAAATACAATAAAAATAGATAATTGATAATAATCGATTGATTGAAAATAATCGATTATTTAAAATAATCGATCATTCTGTTTTTTTTTAAATCGATTTGTCAGTTAATCGACTTTTTAGTTAATCGATTATTTTTGAAATACAATAAAATAGATTATTGGTAATAATCGATTTATCATAGAATCGGCTTCTTAATTAATTGATTATTTTTGATTAGGCGATTATTTTGGAATTATCGATTATTTTCGGTATTTCAAAGATAATCGAATTAACGATTTTAAAGGAAATACAATAAAAATAGATTATTGATAATAATCGATTGATCGAAAATAATCAATTATTTAAAATAATCGATCATTCTGTTTTTTTTTAAATCGATTTATCAGTTAATCGACTTTTTAATTAATAGATTATTTTTGATTAATCGATTATTTTCGATTTTTCAAAGATTATCGAATAATCTGTTTCCATGGACGAAAAAAATGGTTTATTTGAAAATAATCAATTATTTAAAATAAACGATAATTCTGTTTATATTATATTTTGTAAACACTGATTTATCGGTTAATTGGCTTTTTAATTAATCGATTATTTTTGATTTTTCAAAGATAATCAAGTAGTCGATTTTAAAGGAAATGACAAAAAATATATTGTTTGAAAATAATCGATTGATCGAAAATAATCGATTATTTTCAATGATCGATAATTTATTTCGATAATCACTTATCCCTAGCGACCAAATAACTTTTAATAGATTTAAATTTTAAAATGTTATCTGGTTTCAGACATATGCATTTCTATAGTTTTATGTGACTCATCCTTTATAATAATTAATATTCCTAAAGAAAGAAGCCTTAACATACCTTTTTCTGAGGTTATAATACAAAACAGCATTTTCTCATTTTGACTAATTTTTATTATTATGTAATAGCCGTAAAAAAAATATAATGTTCAACTCATAAGGGTAGATTTACAGTATTAGCCTGCGCACATGCTATTTTTATAATACTCGTAGACAATGAGTAACATTTTTGGCTCTATTAACAATATATTCTATTTCAACATTTTCCTGTAATCTCTTGCAGAAAAGTCCGTAGTAAATAAACGCTAACGAAATATTCTATAAAAGGTCTTCTCTTTACATAAAATCACGTTAATTTTATTTCATAATACAAAATTCGATTAAACACCTTTTAAATAAACCTAATAGTTCATTAAGATGCTAATAAACAAAGTCCGGTCCCTGTCATAGAGTTCGGGTCGCCGCGTGTCGCCGCCCAGTTCCCCCACTCCGTTAACCCTTCTTTAGAAATTGGCAACATTTGCGCAGGTTTAAAACCGGTGTATGTTATATCTCCGGTCTCTTTTATCTAAGGTCATGGCCAAACCCACAGGGAAGAAACAAAATTGTACAAAAAGATATATTCACGTCAGCTTGCCTTAAAACAAACAAACAAAAAGTCGTTTGTTTCTTGACGTCCAGCGATGCAAATGGCTCATAGTACTTTTTTTGTTTGTTTTTAGTTTCGTTTATTACGAGTTGGGTGAGACTTCTTTAAAGTCGGTAGGGTCCAGTCGGGTAAATCCGAAGATCTGGAACCTGGTTCTTTCCAGAGCGGAGCCGGTACATAAAATATGCTCTGCAGACTCGTCCTCCACGCTGCAGAATCGACAGTCCGATGTTTGTTGCAGACCTATCCTTCTTATGTGGTTGCCCAGACTGCATTGTCCTGTCATCAGTTCAGTGAAAATGCGTAGATCTTTCGTATTCCATTCTCGGATCTGAGCAGAGGCGTTCATAGAAGGGTTGGTTATAAACGCCTTCGAATGGGTTAGCCCTGGGGTATCTCTTCAATTCGTGAGTGTTGCACCATCCGTCCATTTTGAGATAATTCCTTTGGCAGTTCTTTTTGCAATGCCCAGGAATTGTTCTGGTTCTATGAACACAGATTCGGTTCCTCTTTTAGCAAGTGCGTCGGCTTTTTCGTTGCCCTCCACACCACTGTGTCCCGGAACCCAGATTAATGTAACTTTGTTCCAGGCACCGAGGCACTCTAGGGTATTTATACAGTTCCAAACCAGCTTTGAGTAAACTCGATTGGAGCTCAGGGCTTTAAGGACTGCCTGGCTATCTGAAAAGATCTTTATAGTCTTGTTTGCGGGGAGAAAATTAATCAACTTTAGGGTTCTACGCCTAGAGTCTAGGGTCAAAATTTTCAACGTATAATATACGTCGTATTTTATTATTATAAGAAAAAGAAAGGTAGGGGGGACTCCATAAAAATTGTTACTGAAAATTGGTCTCCGAATATTTTAAGGTTATAAAGCGCTGAACTAGAGGTAGAAAATCGAAGCCAAAAGACTTGAAATGGTCGTAGAGAGAAACGCTGACCTGTAGTAGCAAACCATTCCTGTACCACTGACCTAGAGGTATGGAATCGGTTTTCAAGGGCATTTACACCTTTACAAAGATGTTCTTCACGGTCTGTAGTTCTTCGGACAGCACCATAACTCTACGACATTGTAGCCTTCGCTCTGTGGTCGAGTTTTATTGCCAATATCCCGAAACTCAATTTCCACTTTAAGGATTATTTGTTCCTGATTTTTGATTCCATCTAGTTTTTAAACTGGGTACTACAAGTGAGATCTGATTTTGCTTACTAAGTGCAGATGGCATTACTTTTTTTGTGTGAATGTAACGCATTTGCAGATTTCCCTAGAGACTGAAAACGAGAATGTCTATTTCTTGCTGATGAGCCGTAATAAGGACGAAACCGGTTTAAGAATGACTTTCTGCTTAGTAAGCAAATGTTTACGAATAAAATATCTTACTTTAAATTAGATCATAATATAAATATAACAAAATGTTTTAGGGAGAAAATATCTATTTAAATCTTACACAATGTAATTGGTATAATTGGAATACATCTAATCGAAAATTATATATAAGTTTGTTATTGTTTACACAAACTCCACAATGTTACATAATCTTCGGATTTTCCGATGTAAATCGAAGATTTATGCTACAAGTAAGATACTAAAAGTTAATATGTTGTATGTTTAAAAGATTTTGTTACTAGTTATGAAATACGGAAAGGCCTTAAAAAATCGTAAAAAATAAAAAAAACTCAACATAAGCCTTCATAGCTCAGGTAGTTAAGGAATTATACAGGGTGATTTTTTGAAAAGGATCCACCCTCGATAACTTCGTTCTCGTCTTGATTCAGGTAAAATCCAAAAACAGGTAAATTTTTATCCTTAGGGGGACACATTTTTAGATCACAACTGATTTTGTCGGATCAACCCCATGGCCCCACCAGCCCCCACCTCAAAAACCTTCAATAGCAAGGGAGGCCGAGTGACCCCTCGTTGGAAAGGTTTTTGCATTTACCATACGACCATGTAAGAATTATTTCGTTTTGTACAGGGTGGTTCAAGAAAAAAGACAAATTGCAATAAATAGATTTACATTTCGCTTTAATTGGTTAATTTTTTAATTGTTTACAAAACGAGAAGAAACGGATTAGAGTGAAAGGAAGCAAAATCACAACAAGAGCTCAAAATGATCACCGTTATTCTTCATGCAGTAGTAAAGGCGGTTTTCAAATTCCTCTCTCACCCGTTGAAAGGTTTCTCTAGGGATTCTTCTGCATGCGTCAGTTATTCGTTGTCGCAACTCCACTAAATTTGCTGGTTGAGTTTTGAAGACAAGAGATTTTAGGTGCCCCCAGAGGAAAAAATCTGGTCCTGTCAAATCTGGTGACCGTGGAGGCCATTCTATTGCTCCTCGCCTGCCAATCCAATGATGCGGAAATCTCTGATTCAGCCAGTTCCGAACATTCACAGCGAAGTGAGGTGGGGCTCCATCTTGCTGAAAAAAAAGCTCATTTTCAAGATTTCAATCAAGATTTCAATCAAGTACAAGATTTCCATCTTGATTCCGCTGATTTTCAACTTCAACCGTTATCAAGGGATCTATGATATCCTCCAGCAGCTCTAAATATACCTCGCCAGTCAAAGTCTCATTATTGAAAATCGGACCGACTGCCACATCGCCTAGTATTCCTGCCCATACATTTAATTTCTGAGCAGCCTGAGTATGCCCCTCTCTAAAAATGTGAGGATTCTCATCACTCCAATATCGGACATTTTGTTTATTGACTGCGCCATGCAGATAAAAACTACATTCGTCACTAAAGCAAATGTTTTTTATGAGGTTTGGATTTGCGTTTATCATTTCCGTCATAATTTCGCAAAACTGTAATCTCTTATCAGGATCATCATTCACAAGCTCCTGAAGTATCTTCATTTTATAGGGATGGAATTTAAAAAGTTTTGTCACTTTGCGTACCGATGAATACGAAATTCCAGTGGTCGTAGCAATCTGACGCAAAGAACTGGTTGGATCGAAAGTAAAGTTCCCCACCACTTTAATCTGAACTATTTCATTAACTATTCTGTTACCTTCTCTCTTCATATTTTTCACCGATCCTGTTGCTTGAAACTTCCGCACAAGTTGCGTGACATATTTGTGCTCTATTCGCTTATCTGGATGTCTCGCATTAAATACTCTGGCAGTGGCGCGGGCACAATTCTGCTCCTCACCATAAATGAAAATAACTTCTACCCGCTCGGCAATAGTGTAAACCACTTTACAGGGAATAAATCAATTGACATACCAACTGACTGCAAACTACTTGGATTAAATCTAATCCGTCAAAACGGCTTGTAAAGATGCGCAAAAAATTGCAGATAAAAATTCATACAAAAAGCGATAGCGCGATATCACTCATCAACCGTCTTCAAAAATTGAAGCAAAAAATTTAAGTGAATTTACGACAGGAGATAAATTGTTGAATGAGGAAGGATTCCTATTATTCTCAACGGTGGTAATTTTAAGAATCTATTATGATGTATGTAATTTAAGTCTATTTATTGCAATTTGTCTTTTTTCTTGAACCACCCTGTACAAAACGTTAATAATTCTTACATGGTTGTATGGTAAATGCAAAAACCTTTCCGACGAGGGGTCACTAGGCCCCCCTTGCTATTGAAGGTTTTTGAGGTGGGGGCTGGTGGGGCCATGGGGTTGATCCGACAAAATCAGTTGTGATCTAAAAATATGTCCCCCTAAGGATAAAAGTTTACCTGTTTTTGGATTTTACCTGAATCAAGACGAGAACGAAGTTATTGAGGGTGGATCCCTTTCAAAAAATCACCCTGTATATGTATTTAACGATCAGTGTTTAAGTTACACTAAAAGCAATTTTGTTTTTATATATTTATATTGGAAAAAATATGAACTGTTTATTTATCATAATATAACTCTTAAAAATTAGGCAATCCGTTAATCTTTCCGCTATTTATTTTGTACTATTTTGACAGTTACGATTTGTCATTTTTGACCATCTTGCATAATCCAATTGTTAATTTTTCTATTTTATTTCAGGTATTCAAAATATTTAACTGTTTCATAACATGTGCTGCTTCACTGAAAAATAAATAAGAAAATTATTGTTTTCGAAGAATATTTCGTTACACTTTCTTACATTTATTAATCTACGACCACTATGGAAAGCAAACCAAAACACCTACAGGCACACTAAATATCCCATTATGTTTACTAAATAAATAGCACAGTAAAGAAAACGCACGGCAATCAAAAAACACGGCAACAAAATTTGTGCGTAACCTACGAGTTAAAAACAATATTTATCCGTGTAAATGGTAGTAAGTAAAGTATAATACGTAATGCGTGTTGTAAAATTGTTATGCAAACATAGAATTATTAATTTTATAAGTTTTAAAATAAGTAACACAAAGATTGGAATTTATGCCTTCTATTAAATTAAAAAATAAAGAACTTTACAAAAATAATTTAATTTGCCTTAACCCTTAATTATACCTATACCCATTTACACATCCTAGAGCATTCTTTACTGAGGTAATGGAGAAACTTTACTATTTTAATTTAAATTAAACAAAATTCCAATATGGGTACATATTTAGTTTTTATCATTGGTGGATCTATTGAATGACCTTTAAAGAATATTTAGAAATAAAATCATTTGTACAGTGAAAACCCAGTTAAATTTCATAAAAGCACAGTATTTAAAAATCAGTATCATAAAAATATAAATTGAATTTTAATATTTAATCTCTATTTTTTGGTACGCCACTGCGCTCTGGCTCCTCGCCTTTCTGTCGGTTTACAATGCTGATTGAGCACCAGAGTGACCAGACGTTTCCGCAAATGCCTTTAGTTAAAAAGAGAGGATCACAGAACCGTGAGACCAAGTGAAACAAACATCGTGACTGCTTAAAACCACGCTGTTTTGTGCATCGCACATAATCAAAGTGTGACGTCACAAAGTAGGGCGGGGCATACTAATCTTTCCCATCAATGATACAGAATAAAAAGGACGGTACTAAAAGTGTCTGCACTTTTGCTTTATACTTTTACATCATATTATGTCAAATTCGAGCTAGTGGAGCTGTCAGTTTGGGTGAGCATGAATGCCATTTTTTAAAATAGCGGGATTTAAATGATATACAAATATTTTCATTACGTGAATCTCAAATATATAATTATTAATTTCAAATTAATTAAAATACGATTGAAAGCGCGTCAAAAAATGGGCTCTTAAGGAAATGAATTTGAAGTTATAGAAATATTACCAATCTGTAAATGTTAAATGATAAGCAGTGGCAGACTGATATAGCGGTGAGGAATTTACTTAAATGATATCGTTTGCATCTACAAAAAAATGAAAGCTAAACTTATATTACAGTTGGTTTTAAAAACGAAAAATAAATTTGCAGAGGCCTAAATTATTTTAAGAAACTAAATAGTTGTGTCTATGTTAGGTATGTTGGGAGTAGTAAGTGTGATATAAGCCCCTAAAAAATAATATCTGATCTCCAGAAGCAAGTTAGCTTGTGTGGAACTAAGGAATTATACCACCTTCACTATTCGCATTGAGGACAATTAAAAACAAGTTAACAAATTAATTAATAAAATTTAAAAATTTTACAAATAGAGGATGACTGTGGAAAATATATTGAAATTTAAATTTAGAATACAATAGTTAATATGAAAAAGGTTATACATTCATTTTTATTATTTGACCAACTGTTTCCATGTGACAGTGGTGACAAGCTACACTTAAAGACGTTGACAGGTATCAAGAGAGGAGGTGCGTTCACCTTAGTGTGAAACAAGTTACTCCAAGTGTGATTCGAGTGATTGGATGTGGTTAAAAGAAAATAAAAAATTTTTGGTACTGAATTTAAAGAAACTTTTTTAAAATTTGATTTATTTATTAATTAAATTTTAATTCAAATAAATGTTTAATATAAATTGATCTTTTAATGTCAAGGCAAAACAAAAATATCACTCACTTGATTCTGCTGTGCCAGCCCGGGCTCTGCAGACCTTTTTTCAGAGAACCAAAGATGGCACCACTGAACCCGCGGTCCCTAGAGGTGAATCTTATGTTTAATCTTAAAAATTCCAAGTCACTCAACAAACATACTCATGGTTGGAGTGAGACAAAAAAAGGAACAAAAATCATACAAGTACCATGGTTTCAGAGGTAGGCTCTCTTGGGTGAAATCGAGTTTAGGAGGAGATGGCTCTCAAAGGCTTATATTGAGCGACTCGGACTTACATCATAGAGGATTAACTGAGTTGTCTATGGAGTAGTATGACATTTCTGTTAAGGTTCACTTGAGTATTGGGACAGAGAATATTGTTGTCTCGTTCAAGGGTAATTTCAACATCTTCATGGAAATCTAATAAGTTGAAATTTTTTGTGTTCAAGTTGACTTATAATTTGGAGTTTTTTGTTAAGCTAAAATTATGTTGATTGAACCTCAAGTGATGTCCAAATGCAGATGTGTCCGGCCTCTTGATGTGTGTCGCCTATCCGGACTTCGAAAGATCTGCTAGGTCTGCTAATATAACTGGCAACAACAAATTGATCGTATCGAAAGCTGATAAAGGCAATTGTTTAGTAATTCTTAATCAAGTTGACTACTTAAATAAAGTAAATAACTTTTTGACAGAAAATAACTCTAAAATTTTGGCTAATAACCCTTTCAACACTTTCGTGAGAAGAACTAAAGCCTTACTTAAGTTAAACAAAGTTTTTTTAGCAGAATTTCAAGACGGACATACCCATTAGGCCAGTTGTAAGTTTCTTTAACACTCAAGTTGCAAAAATCACCACTTTTATTTGCTACTTAATTCATGATCTCACACAATTCAAACCAGCCAACTCGGTAAGTATTAGTTTAGAATTTTGTAATAAAATCAAAAATTTCAACATCCCTGACAACTGCACCATGGTTTCTTCTTTCAATGTTAGCAACCTGTACACCTCGGTCCCAAGGTTTGAGACCATGCCTTTGGTTTGGGAGGTCTTGAGAAGTTCAAACATTTCTGCCAATAACACAATCATCATTTTACAATTTTTAAACCTGTGCTTATCACAAAATTTCTTTACTTTTAACAACATCACCTGTATTGTAGAGGGTGGAAAGTAAGTGAACTGTATATTTAAAGTTGATGGAGGTTACTTCTTCGAAAAGTTCCCACCCTAACCAATACAAGAGAGTAAAATTGTTTGTATAGAACTCACCACTTTCACACGAATAAAAGTCATATACAAACTAAATGGTTTATTTAAATAAACAGAGAAGTCAGAAGGACTTCTCACAATATAACTATAATAAAAATGTATTGTCTTAGACGTGGCAACACTGCACGTTTGCTCGACTTTTCCTTAAAATTAAATACAAGAAAAATAGTCAAAAAAACTTACATATTATGTCACTTTCAGCACTGATTTTATTAGCATTAGTTAAAAAGAGAATCAAAATAAATAGGGGTTGGTAAAATAGACATTTTCGTCGTTTTCACCGCTAGCGCACAAAACAACACCAATCATATTTGAGTAGTGGGGTACTACTGCCGCGAGTACTGGGTTCGAGAGAAACTGGTCGGGAATCGGGAACCGCTCCGTGGTGACGCAGAGAAATACGTGGTATTCTGAAACCCAATCAGAGAGATATGGAAATATTTTATAATTGTACAGGGTAGAGTTAAAATTAAGTCGCGCAGGTGGATTTTAATTTTCAAAATCCAACATCATTAGCTAAGAGCATCTCAAAAATTTTTGCTAACAACGTAGATAACATTAAAGTCTCTTTCAAATCAATTAATAAATTAGACTCTTATTAAGTCAACCAAAGACAAAACAAATTTGTTAGACAAGAGTGGAGTTATATTGGTAGAACTTGCAGATCTTTGGGAGTCCGAATAGGCGAACACATCAAGAGGCCGGACACATCTGCATTTGGACATCACTTGAGGTTCAATCAACATAATTTGAGCCCAACAAATAACTTTAAATTATTAGTCAACTTGAACACAAAAAAAAATCAACATAAGATTTTCATGAAGATGTTGAAATTACCCTTGAAAGAGACAACAATATTCTCTGTCTCAACACTCAAGTGAACCTTAACAGAAATTTCATACCACTCCATAGACAATTCAGTTGACCCTCTATGATGATAGAGCCGCTCAAATAAGCCTTTGAGAGCCATCCCCTCCTAAACTCGATTTCACCCAAGAGAGCCTACCTCTGGAACTATGGTACTTGTATGATTTTCGTTCACTCCAACCATGAGTACGCTTGTTGAGTGATTTGGAATTTTTAAGATTATACATCAGATTCACCTCTAGGGACCGCGGGTTCAATTGTGCCATATTGGATTCTCTGAAAAAAGTTCTTTAGAGCCCTGGCTGGCACAGAAAAATCACGTGAGTGATAATTTTGTTTTGCCTTGACATTTAAAAATCAATTCATATTAAACATTTATTTAAATTAAAATTTAAATAACAAATTTTCTTTAAATTTAGTACCAACAAATTTTTATTGTCTTTTAACCACCTCCAATCACTCGAATCACACTTGGAGTAACTTGTTCCATACTGAGGTGAACGCACGTTCTCTCTTGACATTTGACCTGTCAACGTCTTTAAGTGTCGCTTGTCACCACTGTCACATGGAAACAGTTGGTTAAATAATGAAAATGAATGTATAAATCAATTTAAATTTTAAAATATTAATAGTAAATAATAATGATTTAGCAAGTTGTGAATCTCCAGAAATATTTATATTTTGGAGTAAGGATGACAAAGAACTTTGGATATGCTTGTTTGTGGACAGTAGGTAGACTTTTTTACAATTATAATGTAAATAGGGGAAAAAACCTTCAGTTTTTTTTGGTCTTTTGCCTTTAACCTTTTTCATATTAACTATTGTATTCTAAATTTAAATTTCAATATATTTTTCCCAGTCATCCTCTATTTGTAATTTTTTTTTAAATTAATTTGTTAACTTGTTTTTAATTGTACTCAAAGCGAATAGTGAAGGTGGTATAATTCTTTAGTTCCACACAAGCTAACTTGCTTCTGGAGATCAAATATAATTTTTTAAGGGCTTATCCCACACTCACTATTCCCAACACTGGGTTATGTCACTCTGTTTTCTTTTAATTGTTAATTTGTTCAAAATTATCTTTTATATATATATATATATATATATATATATATATATATATATATATATATATATATATATATATATATATATATATATATATATATATATATATATATATATATATATATTTGTAAACGGTACAGTGTCGCCTCCAAAATATATAATAAAGAAACGTTATCACCTCATATATACCGTTTTTACCTCCGATTTCGGAGGCGTCAACGTTTTGCCGAATTTTCATCGGTTCTAGCCTCAGACGACCTCTAAACTCCCAAAAACGAAAGTTT